CTAGACACACCCAAAGAGACTAGAGAAAATGGCTTATTGAGTAGATACAAGAATGACTTGGTAATAGAATTCTGTGGGCTAGACAAATAGGCATCAGGGCTAGTCATGAATGTGCACTGAAGCCATAGTTTCCACAACCTAGTACGAGAGCTGTACTTTTCAGAACAGTGACTGCTGACTCAGACACCATAACCACTGTGCTTCCTGCATCACAGTGTTCACTTGCACCACAGCTTTATTTAATTTGATTTAGATTTATAAATAACTTTTTAAAAGCACACTTTCTATGTTCTAGGTGCCTTTGACAAAAAAGGAGATTATATAAATACATATACAAATCCAGCTGCTCACCCACCTATAAAACAAGAATTAGAAGCTGACTTGAATAGCAGGTATTTCTCAAGGCATGCATCGATGATTCCTTTGATCAGCTGTCTCAGACTTTTGTCAGGAAACCAAATTTAAGCCAACTTGTAGTTTGAGAAGCAAAATGATTCAGACTCACCAAGCAACTATTATTCCTGTTTAAACTTGAAGCCCTAAGATAGGAACTAGATCTCTAGAACTGAAATACTAGTGCACTAACATACTAAGCACATAATTCTATGGGAAAACTATACTTTTAGCTGAAAATATAATGCAATATATACATTTAAACTAGGGATGTAAAATCCCATTTAAACAGTTAACTGGTTAAATGTTAAATTTAACCAATTAACCACTTGAAAGGGGGCAGGCAGGGAGAGGGTGCACTCCAGCCTGGCCAAGCTGGAGTAGGCTGCTCCAGCCAGCCCAGCCCCACCACAGGCAGGGGTTGGTTGGGCTTGGCTAGACCCACTGCACCACACCGCTGGTGGGGAGCTGCTCCAGCCTTCCCAGGCCACCGGTTAACCTGACATCTCTAATTAAAACATTTTCACCTCTCTCTTTATATTAAATAAGTAACCTTTTCTATTTAAAACAAATTACAGCAGAGATGACAGAGTATTATAAATCTGAAAGGGAATGGGTTATATGCTATATCGAAGATTTAAGCCATGAGCTAGGGTTGTCCCAGAGGATGTCACTTGGAATTTATGAAAAAGTGGTCCAAATCTCATGTACAGACAGTCCCCGGGTTACATGGATCCGACTTACGTCGGATCCCTACTTACAAACGGGGTGAGGCAACCCCGCACTAGCTGCTTCCCCCCAGCAGACCAGGGAGACGCGAAGCTAGCGCCCCCCCCCAGCAGACCAGGGAGATGCGGAGCGGCTTTTCTCAGCAGACCCCTCAGCTTGAGAATAAAGGACTGAGGGAAGTGAGGTGTGGGAGAATAAAACTGAGCTCTGGAGAAATGTTTGGCTAGAGTTTCCCCTACAATATGTACCAGTTTCGACTTACATACAAATTCAACTTAAGAACAAACCTACAGTCCCTATCTTGTACGTAACCTGGGGACTGCCTGTAGTGTATCTTTCCCAGTTAATCTGCAAAAATTCATTATACCACTAGTACGTGGTTTACAAATTAGAGATTAGAGTAACATAAAATGCTATATTCAAAACAAGATTCACATTGACTTAACTGGGGCGAGGAGTCCTGTGGCACCTTATAATTGACTTAAATGTAAACCTGCCCATTCACTCCAGCAGGGCAGGATTTCACATATTTTCAAAAGGCACCTAACTGGGTCGTCACATCTAAGAAAAGCCTTCAAATGGTACACAGGCTAAGCCTGGGATACTCAACATGCAGCCCACGGGCCACATGTGGCCCACAGCCTGTTTGTTTGCAGCCTGTGGTATGGCTTAGGTTAACACAGGGCTAACCACGCTGCCCACGGATGGGATCTTTTGAATATGGCCTCCGCTGGGAACACACTCCACAATGGCAAGGCATCTCCCAAGCAGGGTGAGCATTGAAAGATGCAAGCGGACGAGTTGGCTGGAACAGACGGGGACAGGGTATCAGCATTTCTAACCCCTAGGGAGGAGGTGCCGGGAGCGCCGGGGCATTGTGTGAAAGAAGCTATTTGCATATTTTTGCATATATATTTGCATGTGTATGCAACCACACTTAAGTTGCAGCCCTTAGCATGTGCTGTATCATTGTGGCCCCTGGGGCTTCCAAAGTTGAGTAGCCCTGGTCTAAGCCATGCTTTATAATCCAGCTCTATCATGCCTACATTTCACTGGACCTTGAGGTATTCTAGTCTTAGCCAGCATGGTGTGTTTCTTGTGCAGTTTATGAAGAAGACTTGCTGGTGGGACAGTGCTATGCTGCCTTCTGAGTGTATTTTTTTTACTACTTTTGACAGTCTTCAGTGCTCAAAACATGGCCTGGAAGGCATCAATTGCAATTGCTGCTCATTGCAAACTTGTCTTTAACTGCTAGGCTTTTCACAGTATCAGTCACTAAATTGTTTTGACTGAGCCACATAAATCTTTTGTTTTCAGAAAGGTGTGAGACACAAATATGATATGAAAACATCCACTAAGTGAATTTCAGAGCAATGCCCTGTCTTAGTAATCCAGTTCAGAACTGGTCTTCCACAGTCTTGTAGGGTTTTCTAGCTTTAAAATTCATTCAGCTCAAGAATAGAATAAGATAGCATGGGATATTTAGCTGTTTACCACAAAATAGGCTACAAATGATTTCTGTGGAAAGATCCCCCAAATCAGGGCCTTATTATGAAGAGGAAAGCACTTCTGGAAATTTAAGCAAAAGAAAGCTGAGAAAATTTATTAAGTTCAAATATCACTGAGCAATGTTCCCTCTAACCTTTTCCATCCACATCTGGATTTTTATCCATCCTTGTGAGGAGTAATTTCATGTGCATTGAGGCATTTACTAATGTGTACCACCAATAGAAACAATTGGGTATTTGCATCTCTACTGAGTTGTAGCACAAGCATACAACTTATAGAGAACACTGACTGAGAGGGTCACTTTGATAAAGCATTGACATATAGCAATCCTCAAAGCAAACCATTTAACTTATTGATATGAATGTGCAACATAGTCTTACATACTTATTTAAGAAAGATTGAAATCTGTAAGTCAGCTCTCTGTGTTGACTATGCAGTCGGTCTGTCAAGAGAGAGAGTGCTGCTCTGGGGGAGCGTAGGTGCTTCCATTTTGCACTGCACGTGGGAAGTCACGATATAATATATAGAGAACAATGTGAAGGTGTAATATTCTGAAGGCAGAGCCACTCTAGCCTAGGGCTGGGGAGAAAAGAAATCCTGTTAAATCTTGTTAAATCTTTCTCTACAAGGTATTCTTCCTGGTCAGTCTATTACATTTTACCCAGCAAGCCAGACTTTTCAGAGATTTCTCCAGATTGTACCATGAATCAGACAGTAACAGCCATTGCAAAATTCATATATAGCAGATGGCAATCTGATTAGAACCTTTACATTGCATTTGGAAATAACTTACTTTAGTTATAGATTAACAGCAAGGATATAATTTACTACTAGCAGTAGAAGCAGGGGTGACGTGTGGGTAGGAGAACATACGGGGCTCACATACTGTGGGTGGGATGGACAAGGGGCCAGCCAGGAGACTGCAGGGAAACTAGCAGAGGGGGGAGGGTCTGCCACCCGCAGCAGGGGTCCATCCCTCTCTACCTCCTTCCCCTGCATTCACTGGCAGTGGTGGAGGAAGCAGAGCAAGGCAGCTCCAGCTTGTTCTGCTCTCCCAGCATGTCTCTCTAGGGTAGAGGTAGAACTGCCCCCACACTCACTGGCAGGAAGCATCGTTTGAAGGTGTTGTGCAAGTGCACTTTGAGGAAGAGGAGTGAGAGGTCAGATGCGGAGTGATTGCTTTGTGAAAAATGCTCATGATATGGTGTTTTGGTCTTTTATTATTTTTTATTTGAGTTCATTCAAAAGCTTAGTGATTGTCTTGTTTCACCCATATAGTTGTTGTTGGGGTACTTAGTGCATGGCTTAGGTAGGACACATGCTGTGACATAGAGTTTGAAAGCTGTGTGTGGGGAGCATTGATCATCATTGTAGCAGTGGAGATATGTCTAAAGGCTGGGTCTGGTCAAGGTCTGCAGCAGTATGGGTGTGTGTGGGTGTGTGTGGCCGCTAGCTTGTGGCAGCAAATTTAAAAGGGCAGAGCCCTAGGCCCTTTAAATTGCCACCAAAGCCCTGAACCTTATGTTCCAGGAACCCCTGAAGGGTTGGCTGGGGGAAGCTAGTCCCATCGCTTCAGTTCCATCTGGGAGCATAGACCTGGACTCCCTTGCCCGGTGGCCCAGCAAGTCTCTCTGCATCCTTGGGTCTGGCGCCACTTTTAGTTTGTATGTTTTCGGGCCTCATCTATGGGCAACTTACTTTTGCTAATGCACTTGGCCAGGTTGGAGGGTTGTTTGAAAGACAAAAGAGAGAGTGCAAGAAATATTTCATTCAAGATATGGTCAATCTCAATCTCAGCCACTGTCCAGAGGAAATTTATAGTTCCACCTTGTAAGAGAAAACATAGTGACAATAAGGGCATGGTTTTTTCAGAGGTCCTATATATCCAACATACTGTCTCAGTCAGCACCTCTGTAAATCAGGCCTTAAGATTGTACTTTTACATTTTTTCTTCTTATGTCTTGTTTAAAGATAAAAATTAAATAAGGTTGAAATAACACCCTGCTCTGTCCCAGACAAAAGCAATGGAATAGTCTATTAGTCATTATAAAAAGCAGATTGTTCAGGCACTCTAGTGGCTTACACTGACTGAGTCCTGGGGGGTAGGGGAGAGGAAATCTATAATAAACACATGAAACATGCATATTTATCTCATGTGTTAAAGGCTTTCTTGCATAATAGGTTGAATCCAACAAACTTCTAGTTAATTTTAGTGCATTGATTTTAGCACTGCAAGCCTAAGGGAGCTTTTCAAAAGACACAAAAGGAAGTCAGACATGCAACTACCCTTAACCCCCAGGAGAGGTGGGTGTCTAATTGCCTTTGTGGCTTAAGAAATTCTTTCCTGTTGTGTCTTTTCCTCATTACAGAATAAAAACAGCATGAAGAAACCACACAGGCACAGCTGGGTCCCAAACAGCATTGTTTATTAGATTTAGGCAAACATGACAGCGCTTGCTACTTACATTCTGCTGTTCTGATTGGTTGCTGCTGGGTTCTAAAATCTGAACCCAATGAATTATATCAAGTGAAGCTATCTACTCCTATACAACAAAACAAGATGATATCAAGTGAGGTAATAGACTGATTTATTTTCATATTACAATAATTATGTAAAAAACTGTGAATAGTGAAAAAATAGATAAGGACACACAGTGCAATGTTTTTCTATGCCATCTGTCCCCATGACAACTGGTCTCTTGTTTGACACTTGGCTATGGAAAATGTTTGACCTCACATTACTGCAGTATCCCAAGTCCAGTAGCCTTAGATGTTTGTTAGGGCCAGTGTAGACGTAGCCGTGGTGTTGTTACTTATTTTACTTCTTTCAAATTGTGTTATTTTAGGTTTTTGACTGGTTTGTGAATTTCATAACTATTATTTCTCACTTATGCTTTACCATGGATATATCTGACCTGGGATAAGAGATGGGGTGTAGAAAGGCTGTAAAACAAAGAATTCCCTCTCTCACTATGCTTTTGGATTCAGTAACTAAGTTTACTTTCTATTTCCTGTTATATATCTTAAATTAGGGGTTTCAAACTCCCAGCTCGCACACCATATTCAGCTGGACCCCGGAACTCCCAGCAGGCTGGGGGAGGAGCCCCAGCCCCCAAGATCTGCTCCTCCAACTATTACCATTCCCCAACACCTGCCCCTTCCCACCATTGCCCACCTTCTCCCCACATGGCACCCTATCTCCAAGGACATAACTTTTGGGATCACTGGGGGAGGGGTCTGGTGGCAACAGTCAGGAGCCCTGCACTCCCTGTGATGGCAGGAGCCATGGGGGTAGTAGAGTGCACTGGGCAAGTGGCAGAACCCGCAGGGAGGTGCAACTGCTGATATCACACAGCATAGGGCCCCTCCCCCCCAGGGATCTGCAAAGCACATCCTTGGGGACGGGGTGTCATAGGGGAAGAGAGGGTGGGTGATGGTAGGAAGGGGCAGGGCTTGGGAGCTGAGGATGGCCCGTGGGCTAGGAATTTGAATCTACTGGTAGATCCTGGAACTTCTGACTGATGATCTTAACTGGGTTGGCCAGGAGGCATTCAAGTGCCAGCACTTCAGCTGCCCCTCTCCCCACGGTTCTGCTGCTCCTGCCCTGGAGATGCCCCCCAGGAGTCTCCTGCTTGCTGTGCAAGGTTGGGGAGGCACAAATGGGGAGTGCTGATGTCAGGGTGTCCTCCTCTCCCAATCCCTGTACCACATCTCCACACACCGTTGGGACACAACAAACCTCAAGATGGAGGAAGCTTGATGACAGCTTCTCCTGTGTCTGAAAGTGCTCAGCATACTTGGTAATGAGAATCTCTGTCTCATGTTATGGTTATGTCTACACTGCAGGCTTCTTGCACAAGAACTTTTTTGTGGAAGAAATCTTCCACAAAAAGTTCTTGCTCAAGAGAGCATCCACACTTCATGGACGCTTTTGTGCCAGAAAGCGCTGATTGCCGTTACCAGAATGGCCATCAGCACACCTGTGCTTTTTCCACAAGAAACCCCTGTTTGCCATCCACACAAACTTTTTTGCGCAAGAGCTCAAGAGCCTCCGGAAAAGGGCACTTTTTCCGGAGGATCGGGGCCAGTCTAGACGTTCTTTTCCGGCTTTTTTAAAAGCCGGAAAAAAGCGGCGGACATTTTTATTTAAATGCCGCGGGGGATATTTAAATCCCCCGCGGATTTCCCTACGACGACTAGTGAAATTTACATGCCCCTTCCGGAAAAGGGGCCAGTGTAGACGTAGCCGTGGTGTTGTTACTTATTTTACTTCTTTCAAATTGTGTTATTTTAGGTTTTTGACTGGTTTGTGAATTTCATAACTATTATTTCTCACTTATGCTTTAAATTTAATTTGTTGGGTAGTGAGTTCTAAAATGCAGAAACTTTCATGGTTGAAGTAATTATCCCTATTGTAATTTTAAAAATATATCCATTTTATCTAGGTTTTAGGTGGTGTACACATGCACATTATCTTGATTTTGGTGTATGTAACAAAATTAATTCCCTTTAATTTTATCGATCCATGTGTGGGAACACTGGAATCGGGTTCAATGTCTTTGAGGCTCTTGCAGACAAATTGGGAGATCAGCCACTAACAGTCCAGCAGTGCAGCCCTGGCCCCACACTTGTCCTGGAAGTGACTGGCATGTCCCTATGGCCTCTGGGGAAGGACACCCGGCAGCCCCCCAATGCTCCCATTGGCTGGGAACCACAGCAACGGGAGTTGCGGGAGCAGTGCCTGCAGACAGGAGGCAGCACAAGGAGTCATCTGCCCCTCCCCGCTAGGAGCCATAGCTGGACATGCCAGCCCCTTTTGAGAGTGGTGCAGGGCCAGGATGAGAGTGAGACTGCCTGGGAACCACTGAAGTAAGTGGTGCCCAGTTGGAGCTTACATCCTGACCCCCCAACCCCTTCTGCACCCAAGCTCCCTGTACCCTGAGCTTCCTCCTGCACCTCAACCCCTCCCCCAGACTCAGCTCAGAGCCCCTCCCACAACCTGAACCCCTCAGCTCAAGACCAGAGCCTGTACACCTCTGCACCCCAACCTCCTGCCCCTGACTGGTGAAAGTGAGGATAGGGATGTCAGGGAAGATGGAATGAGTAGGACAAGGTCTCAGAGAAGGGGTGGGGCAAGAGTGTGGCCTCAGAGAAGGGGCAGGAAAGAAGGCGGAATAAGGGTATTTGGATTTGAGGTAGATCCTGGATTGCATTTAAATTAAAAAAAAAAAAGATCTTGTGCTTAAAAAGATTGGAGATCCCTGCTGTGGTCTAAGGCCAGATTACTGTATGCTGGAATAGGTCACTTGAAGAATAAACAGGGATCCCCCCCACAGAAATTATGGATCCTCTCTTTATGGTCTCCAGGTGATCCACAGATGTCAGAGGTATCTCCTGAATCTCCATAATTCTCTTGGACTTCCTCTAGTTTCCACACAGGCCAGTTTCTTTGGAGCTATTCTGCCAAGGATTCTATTGCCACCAACCTTTCCTGGAAACTTCCATGACTCAAGTACAACATGGTGGGAGGGGATGAAAATATTTCACGCATTTTGTGAGTCCTTGAGGGAGTCTGGAGTCAGGGTTGAAGGATGGCAAAGTGCAGTCTAATCCTGCCCGACTCCAATTGTATATCCAACCTTGAACACCACTAAAAAGTCTCTACGGGTCTAAAAAAGGGGATAGTGAAATGGATAAACACAAGCCGTCTTCTTCTCTTAAAGATCCCTAAAGCAAAAGACCCAGATTCCAACTTAACCCTTTCCTACCCAGAGGCCTGGAAAGTTAAATCAAACATTGCAGGACCAGCCTTATCTATGAGGTTTTGGTATATTTATGGATGTATTTCAAGGATGGGCTGTTCCATAGAAATGGGAGATTAAAGTTTCCTGACTATTCTAATATTTGACAATTTCAAGTGTAGCAAAAAGTTGTCACAGCTTAAGAGAGTTCTCAGCTGTCCTTTCTACTGCATTTCCTCTGAGGGCCACAATTTATAAACTGCTTCCAATATTCTCAAGTCACACACAGAGCCACCATGGCTTCTGAAAAACAAGGAAAATAACTGCTCTGGAGAAGCTGAAAGCTTCTGTCATATTTATTTCAAATAGTCATAAATAGTGGTTTGTGTTCACTCTTCAGCATAGATGGATGTTCTAAATCTAAGAGATGTGCTTGCCCTCTAGAGGTCAAACAAGAAAATACTGTAACTGTAGCTTTATTTCAGGGTTCATATAGGTAGTTTTTCAAATCCCTAATGGTGACAGTTTGCATAACTGGTAAACTGATTATAATTATGCTGGTTGATAACCCATCCCAGTCACTTCTGCACACTATACTCAGTGGTACCAAAGAACCACTAGAGCAGCTATTCTCAGTAGGGATGTGAATGACTAGTTGAGTAGTCAACTATCTGATTAGCAGATGCTTATTGGATAGTCAACACACTAGTCAACTAGTTGTTCCCCCCTTGCTGTCTCTATCAGAAAGAGACAGCAAGGGGTATGTTTTTCTCCAAGTCTGTTCATTGACAGTCCTGCTATTCACAGAAGTGCTTTTAAATGTCTCTGTGTCTAAATGCTTCTAGAAGTGCCCAGTTTTCTATGAGTTCTTCATGTTACATTTTCCAGATCTGCTCATCAGGTAAGTTGCAAATTAACTATACCTGAGCTATCAGGGTGATAGTTACAGTGTAAGACTATAGATAGATGGATAACTGAATTATGTAAAACACCTCTATCCCAAATTTCATCTAAGTATGTGGGGGTAATGCACATAATTCAGAAAATCCCAAACATACCAATACAATAAAAAAAAAGTGCAGTGAAATAGTGCACCCAACAGTGACTTACTAAGGAGTTTTTCAAAACATATCCCCTATGGATCAATTTTCCCTTCATGTCTCCAGTAAAAGGAAAAGTCAGTGATCAGGTTTTATATGGATTTGAGATTATACCACCTGCTCTCCTCCAAGGCCTTACCTTGGCAAAGCACTTAAATATATGCTTAACTTGATTTTACTGGGAATTAGGCACGTCTTTACTGAAACAGAGCCATAATTTTTAATTGTATACTCATGTCTCTAATGCAACTGAAAGATAAATTTTCTTTAGTGAGTAACTGGCCCAAGTAAGTTTAAAGCAGGGCACACCAGGGAAGGTGTGTTCCCTAAGCTGAGATGATGATCTTTTCCCACTCTTCAGTGGGCGTTACATAATAAACAAAGGGGGTGTGACTGTCTGAAAAGTCTTTTGCAAAGGTCATAGTCCTGTGCTAATGCCACTCCTCCTTTCATGGTGTCTAACCAAGGCAGGTGTCTTGCAGTTTTTCCAGTGTATTTGCAGAAACATTTAGGCTGTGTCTACACTGGCCACTTATTCTGGAAAAGCAGCCGCTTTTCCGGAATAACTTGCCAGCTGTCGACACTGGCCCCTTGAATTTCCGGAAAAGCACTGACGATCTACTGTAAAATCATCAGTGCTTTTCCGGAAAAACTATGCTGCTCCCATTCGGGCAAAAGTCCTTTTCCGGAACAGTTTTCTGGAAAAGGGCCAGTGTAGACAGCACAGATTTCTT